AAATTGTTTAATCTTGTGAAATTGTTTCATAAAATACTTTTTTTTGATGAAGTTGTTTTATATATGGTTATGAAATTGTTTCATATAATACTTAATGAAACTTTAATGAAACTGTTTCATGTATTTCTCTAAAATTAAAATAATGAAGATGATAATATTCATGATTTACACCCTCCACAATAAAAATGATTAATCAATCTCTCATAATTACAAAAAAATGAACAAAATAAAAAATTATGATTGGTTAAATGAATTTTGCACGGTTTGTACAAATTGAGTGGTTTGTATTTGATCGCTTATATATATATATATATATATATAACTTGAAGTTGGTACAAAACTAATACAACATGTACCAACTGAAAAAGGTTGGTGCCAATTATAGTTGGTGGACACGAGAACTTTCGATACCAATTATAGTTAATTGGTACATGATATTAGAGAAAATATTTAGTATCGTACCAAGTCCATCCCTACAACACATAACTTATATAGGTCGTATTTTATAATAGTCAATTTTATTCATACCCCAACCTATATTAACTTATCTCTTTTTTCATATCCCTACATTAAGGGGCCGTTTACCAAACGTTTACCCTGGTTAAACGTTTACCAAGTCATATTACCTTACCGGATGAATACGATAAGGACCAAGAATCTTACTCGGTAAGAGCGATACAAAGACCAAAAGTCTTACCCGGCAAGTGAGGACAACGATTATTACCATGGTAAGCGCTTACTGTGTAAATTGTTGCATACAGTAACGTTTTGGTGGACTAAAGTCTAAGTAAATGATAATGTTAAATTTTATCGGTAAACATTTATCGGATAAGTGTTTGATAAACGGCCGCTAAAATATAAAAGGAAAACTAAATTCAATACATTTTATTTTTCATTTTTAACCTTTTTCATATTTCATGTTTTAGCCCTTCAACTTTTCTAATTTATTAACTTTAACTCTTTTGATGTTTATTTATTACCTCTCACTTTATAATTTTCTATTCGATACCTTTTTCATATTAATTAATTAATTAATATATTATTATTATTAGTCAATAATTTAATAACTAAAATATGTATT